ATTAAAAAAAAAAAAAAGAAAATCCCGTATATGTATTTATGTTCAAGTCACTCTCCTCTTAGCTGTTAGTAAAACCAATAAGTCTAGGGATGCCTGGGTGGCTCAGTCGGTTAAGCGTCTGCCTTCGGCTCAGGTCATGATCTCAGGGTCTTGGGATCGAGTTCCGCATCGGGCTCCCTGCTCACCAGGGAGTCTCTTTCTCCCTCTCCCTCTGTCTCTTCCCCCTGCTCATGCTCTCTCTCAAATAAATAAATAAAATCTTAAAAAAAAATAAAAATAAAACCAATAAGTCTAGACTGGGTTATACTGTAATAACAACCCCCAAACTTAAGAGATTTAACACAATGGTGTTTGTTTAATTTATGTTCACTCTGGGTTAGCTGGGAGCTTTGCCCCATGTTGTCCTCTTTCTGAGACTTGGTTTAACAGAGAAGGCCTCATTTTGAGTGTTGTCATTCATCATAGCAGAAGAAAAATGTGTCGCGAGTCATGAAAATATATTGACTGTGAAAAAACTCCGGGAAGTTACATCTGTCACTGCACATTTCATTGGCCAAATCAAGTCATGGCTATACCTAATTCAAGGAAGTGGGGAAGTACACATGTGTAGAGAACTAGAAACATTTGAAGTGTCCACCCTTTTTCTGAACAGGTATTCTCCTTCTTACATATAGTTCATCCTTGGCCCTTCCCAGTGGACATAACCCCCAAATCCCATCCAGTCATTGTTTCAAGCTCAAAGTCCAGGATCTCTGAGTAATTCCCAGTAATGCTAATCTCTTATCAGTCTGGACATTATAAGTTATCTGTTTCCCACCCCCAGTTGAATACATAGGGTAGTGTCGGGACAAATATGTATAAGTGTTCCCATTTGGGGAGGAGAAGAATGGAAGACACACACCAGACTCGAGACTGTAGGAACTCTGAAATCTCACTGGGCAGATATTGCTAGGGCTCTTGTTCTGTTCACCGGGTTCTCCAGGTCAGTGCTTTTCAAACTGTCTGTCATGAATGACCAGGGTTTTGTTTTGTTTTTTTTTAATTCTTAATGATTCAAAATCTAAATTTGAATTTTTGTTAACTACAATAAAATTGAATTATAACAAAAATGGAATGAAAACACTTTTCAAATGACAAGCCCAATTTTAAAATTTTTAGATTCAACAGACAGAAAATTATTGTGTAAAATGAGCTATAACAGCTTTTTGACATTTACACTCAATGTCTGTGTTTATCTCATTATTATAGACCAGTAACAAACAGTTCATATTCTGGCACATGCCCTAGGGCATAGTTCTCCATGGTCTTTGGCTTTACTCTGCAGCAGGTCCTTCCATTTTTATTATCCTTGGCTACATCTGAAGTTGGCTTTGGAGAATATGGCCTCTTCCCATGGCTGAGCAGTTTTGTCAGCTTGCTTCCTGATAATAGAAGGGTGGGTGCTAAAGGACTGTTTAAGTTTTAAACCGCTAGTCTCTTGGATGGTGGTGGTTCTTTGAATACCTTTCTTTGAATACCTCGTTAAACATAACCAACAGCAG